GCCTCGCTACTAGTAACAAGTGCCTTACTAGTAGTAACAAGAAGCTATTAGAAACAATCTATTTGAACCTTTCCTGGCAACCCCCTCAATCAGCATCTTCTACTTGAAATATTCGTCGATTATCTTCTATCCAATTTGTTGCTATCAAATTCCTTTTTGGGCAAAGCAATTGCAGTGGTGCGAAACCAAATTGTGACTGCCAAGGGCAAACTACATTCATCGAACTCTATTTCAATTTGATTACCCAGGGAAGATGAGACCAGCTCATGTTTAACATTGCACGTTTTGAACTTGCAGACTGTTGAATATATGCAGATTTGTTGACCAAGGTTCCTCTCGCAATCCAACTGTAAGATAGGCCCAGTGCCCATGTCCATGAAATCGACCCCCGACCTCGGAGCCCGAGCCCCGACCTCGGGTCGGGTCGACCCTCGACGAGGCCCGGTGGCTCCATGAGCTCTTTGCTCCAGGAGTTCGGGCCGTCGGGCAGCCCAGTGCACCTGCCGGCAAGTGCACACTGGACAATATTGGACATGTATTTTGTTTTAAATAAGAATTGAAGCACATGGTTCTTTCAATCTAGGTGTCTGTGAGAGATACAGAAGATTTGTGGTTGCCTCTTCAGCCCTTTCTTTCCTTTGGCAGTGTCCTTCATACAAAACACATCCTACAAACACGTCGTGAATGAACACGTCCTGTGAAAGGGCCCACGGAACATGGGCGCACACAGCCGAGCCTCTCCTGACTCGACGTCCGACTTGTGAGGCTCTCTGGCGAGTTGCTCACGAGGTCGACCACCGGTGTCTTGCAGGCGATGTCCCTCTGGAAGCGCCCACCCGGAACCTACAAACGTAGAAGCTACGCACGGTGGAGGCCATCGCTATTAGGTTGGAGGCCACCAATATAGGAGCAAGAATCTACTTGTACTGCCTTGAAACGATCTTCCAGGGGGCCCATCCGTTCCTATCCGTGCATTGTTTCTTGACTCGGCAGTGTATGCAAAGCATTCGCTTCGTGGCCTTTAGGGTTTAGGGTGGTTTTGACACCGTCCTCGGCAGGGCTTGAACTACCTGCATACTCGAAACCCGCCGGTGGTGCACCGTGACATCAAAGGTGTCGGGGGGCCCGGAGGGAAGGACGGTGCAGTTCCAAAGCGGGGACGTTCACGGTGCACCGTCAGAGTGAGCAGGGCAAAACTCAATTCTGGATTCGGACTTGGGAGGTTGAAGTCTAGTATGAATGCAGAAACACCTGACTTGGGAATTTCGTGGAATGAACAGCATCCAACACTTTTGGGCGAACGGAGGACTGTAAAGCCACTGTCAGATTTGTCCGCAATCATCCCTGCTAAAAAAGCATTGCGCCAGGAAGTTTCATGAGGGACATGTGGTGCCAAGTCTCCACTATCTGACCTTTCACAGATGGGACATTATGGGACAAAAGGAAGCGGCCAGCCATATACAGGAGAGATGAGCGGTTGACTAATTACAAATAATTACACCATTCTGCTAGCAAAGTGTCCTTCAGGGTTGGCATCATCTCCAGGTATTTGTATATGTTTGAATGCCTCAATACTGCTCCTTCACAAACCGACACAACCATCCTTATTCCGTGAGGCCCCGCACCAAGGAAAACCCAGCAACCAAGCCACTTCCATCTCACCGCACCAAGGCCAATATTCTGGTGGACACGAACTTTACTGTCAAACTCAGCGACTTTGGCTGCTCCAAGCGCAGCAATGCTCCTCGGCCAGGTGACCGCGACCGCGACCGCGCACGCCTGCGAGACGAGCATCTCCGCACAGCACCTGTGGTGGAACGTGGGTGGGCCATGCATTCATATTTTTTGTGCGTGGCTCTTCTTTTGGTCAATTTGTACTGGACCTTGCAAGATTCCAAGCCCCTGAATGATGGCAACAATCTGTCGCACCAATGCTTTTCTCCGCCATCTTCGGCCATCAGTGAATGTGGCTGGCCCTGGAAACGGACCTTCGGACCGCCCCTCGTGTCTCCGGTGTATCACGTGTGCTGCTCGGGTGTACCACGCGGGGCCGAGGTGACCACCTCCTTCACCACTATCGGGTCAATCCCGTGGATGGCGCCAGAGGTGATCCAACAGCAGGACGGCTACGGCCGCAAGGCGGGAGAAAACCGGACGTTTGCGAGAGAAAAAGAAAGAACGGTTCATATAGGTTCCTTGTTTTACGCATATATATATATATACATATATATATATACATGTTCCATCATGTTCCTGCCCTTTGCCTGGCGCAAGCGCGTTTTGTACTTTCACCATGGCAAGTGTGTATAAACCAGCATGGCCGTGGTTTCGGAAGAGACCCGCGCGGCACGGCACCCTCGGCCCGGCCGCCACCGGCCGACTTGTGTGGCACCGAGGCGGATATCTGGAGCTTGGGCTGTGTGGTCATCGAAATGGCCTCCGCAGAGCGGCCCTGGGGCAACGGAGCCTTTGAAAATGCATCTTGGAGACGGAGAGGGGAGGAGATCGGAGATTGGAGCGGGAGGAGCTCGGAGACCAAGGGACCCTGGTGGGCTCAAACGTGTTGTAAGACCATCTGCGACATGAAGAAGTGGGCTCGGCAGAGGTTGCAGAAGCCGGCTGTTGTGGGGGTCGATGACTGTGAGCAGGGTGAGAGGAGCGCTCCCAAAATGAGAGAGATGTCAGAGCAATGTGGGTTGGATATACATGCTATTGTTCTATCATCGAACATCTAAGTGCGAACGAGCGGGCATTGGTGTTGTTTGTCGACCAGGCTATAGTAATTATGTTGCCAGAGTATGTACATGCTTTATTTCCTAGATGATGAACTGTGACCGTCAGACGGCTGGCCAAGTGTGTTGTTTGTTGCTGCTGCACACTTTTAAATCGAAGACCAGACCAGAACACCACCAAAACCAATGGACCTCACGACTGCCCCTTACACTCACAGCTCACATCCAATAAGTCCAGTGTCATTGTTGGACTATTGGGGGGTCAGAGTTCAACAATTCGTGGCTTGTGCTGCATGTTGGTGTTTGATGCAACTCCTTCTTTCACCTTGCCCTGAGGTGATGTTCGCCCTGAGGCTTGAGGGTGTGTGGAGGAAGAATGAAGAAGAGGTGTCACATGCCCACAAGTCGGGTTCCAGGGTATTCAGTAAGCAAGAATTGATCTTGATCAAAACACAGGCTTCCTCAACTGGCTGCTCATGCGCTTGACACAGCGCCCCATGGCCCACTTGACCGAACTGGCAGTGTCCGGACCTGCAAAGAGTTGGCAAGCCTGGCGCCAGGTCTTTGTCCTTCAAATAACTTGTTTGGTGAAAGGTTGCACATGCAGCTCTGGAAGTATCCAACACATAAATGGACATAGAAAAACTCTTTGAAGGCCACAATGCTCTAGAAGAATAAACATGATTTTGGAGAACAACAACAACAACAACAACATCAACAACAACAACAACAACATATGTGAAGAAACAGCAAATCCAGTGGACAAGTTCTTTCTATGCGAAGCCACCGATCTCCGATCTCCAAACTTCGCCGCGGCGAGCTCGGAGTTCTTCCAGCTCCGCCCCAGCTCCGGCGAGGCACATCGCTATGTCCAAGGAGCTGCCTCCTATCCCAGCCTCTTTAAACGAAGCGGGCCTGGGAAGCCCAGAGAGAGTTGGACCGATACCTCAAAAGATCAGATAGCCATGCTTGATCTTATTTGTTTCATGTTTAGAAGGCAACCAAGGACTTTGGACCTGAACTACTGCTTTATCCGTTGCTCCTCACGCCCTTTCATCACGTACATTGGGTGACATCGATTGCCCCCTCATAGCCCCCTTTCATGACCCCCATTGGGTTTCAAGGCCAGGAGCTTCTAGTAGCGTCCTTGCTACTAGTAGCAATGCACCTTGCTACTAGTAGCGATGCCCTTATTTCTAGTAGCTTCTTGTTCCTAGTAGTAAGGCCAGGGGCTACTAGTAGCGTCCTTGCTCCTAGTAGCGATGCACCTTGCTACTACTAGCGTCCTTGCTCCTAGTAGCACTGCCCTTTGCTACTAGCCGCGATGCCCTTGTTTCTAGTAGCTTCTTGTTCCTA